AGTCCACAGGATATTGTGACTTTGTTAAAAACCAACTAATAGAAAGTCTAAGTTGGGGAAAGGAGGGACTTTTTAATATGTAAAAGCGGAAAGCATAACAGCTACCCACATAGAAAAAAGTGTCAGATTCCTACATCTCATACCACGTTCAAAAATCAACTTTAGATAGATTAAAGTCTTAAATAACGAAAACACACCTCGTGTGAAGCCTCATGCCTGGAGTCTCAACACTGGGAGGGCCAAGGCAGGCAGATTGCTTGAGCCCAGGAGTTTGAAACCAGCCTGGGCAACATGATTAAACCATTTGTATTTTTGTTCTACAAAAATTACAATAATTAGACCGGCATGGTGGCACATACTACTTGCGAGGCTGAGGTGGGAGGATCACTTGAGCCTGGGAGGTCAAGGCTACAGTGAGCTATGACAGTGCCACTGCACTCCAGCCTGGGTAACAGAGTGAGAACTTGCCTCAAAAAAAAAAAAAAAAAAAGGGCAAAAACAAAAATTTAAAATTTTAAAAGAAAATAGGTCCTCAAACTTGGACAAGTGGGAACAATGTGGAAAATAGCTCCTCAAATCTGGACAAGTGGAAACAACCCAAATGTCCATCAACAGATGAATCGATTAGCAAAATGTGTATTTATGGTGAAATATTATTCAGCCTTAGAAAGCAATGCTCATCATCACTGGCCATTAGAGAGATGCAAATCAAAACTCCATTGAGATACCATCTCACACCAGTTAGAATGGGGATCATTAAAAAATCTGGAGACAACAGATGCTGGAGAGGATGTGGAGAAATAGGAACACTTTTACACTGTTGGTGGGAGTGTAAATTAGTTCAACCATTGTGGAAGATAGTGTGGTGATTCCTCAAGGACCTAGAAATAGAAATTCCATTTGACCCAGCCATCCCATAACTGGGTATATATCCAAAGGATTATAAATCATTCTCTATAAGGACACATGCACACAAATGTTCACTGCAGCACTGTTTACAATAGCAAAGACCTGGAGCCAACCCAAATGCCCATCGATGATAGACTGGACAGGGAAAATGTGGCACATATACACCATGGAATACTATGCAGCCATAAAAAAGATGAGTTTGTGTCTTTTGTAGGGACCTGGATGAACCTGGAAGCCATCATTCTCAGCAAACTGACACAAGAACAGAAAATCAAACACCACATGTTTTCACTCATAGGTGGGTGTTGAACAATGAGAACACATGGACACAGGGAGGAGAGCATCACACACTGGGGTCTGTTGGGGGAAAATAGGGGAGAGACAGTGGGGGATGGGGAGTTGGGGAGAGATAGCATGGGGAGAAATGCCAGATATAGGTGATGGGGAGGAAGGCAGCACATCACACTGCCATGTGTGTACCTATGCAGCAATCTTGCATGTTCTTCACCTGTACCCCAAAACCTAAAATGCAATTAAAAAAAGCAATGTAATTCTGAGACATGCCACAGTATGTTTAACCTTGGAAACATTCTACTAAGTAGGATAAACCTGACAAAAAAGGACAAATATAGTAGGATTCCACTAACATGAGGACCTAAGATAGGCAAATTCATAGACAGAAAGTAGAACAGAGGTTACCAGGGACTAGGGGGAGCCAGGAATGGGGATAGTTGTTTAATGGGTACAAAGTTTTTGTTTGCAATGGTGAAATAGTTCTGAAAATGAATAGTGGTGACGGCTGCATTGTGAGTATATTAATGCCAATAATGGTACACTTAGAATGGTTTAAAAGGTCAGTTTTGCTGTGTATATTTTCCCATTAGAAAACCAACTTAACTCTTTCTTAAACACAACTCGATTTTTGTGGTATCAGTTGTAATGTGTAGGGCAGGCACCTCTCTAGAGAAGGGGATTTGCAGCATTCTGAGAAAGAGAATCCTTAGAAGACACTGGGGACAGAAATTTAGGCGAAAGGGTCAGAGGTTTGTAATCAATTTTATTCAGTCATGGATGAACACTGCTGAGAGACCCCTCTGTGCTGGGCCCTTAGCTGAGAACCATGACCACAGAGGTGAGTAAAATAGGATCCCAGCTTTCACACAATTCTCAGTCTAGTGACTGGTGATTGATGAGAAGTGTAGTCATGGTGGGTTCATTGGAACCAGTGGCCGATGCTGCATGAGATGACCTCAGTGTATGGCCTGGGCCAGTGATTCTGGACTTCAGCCATATTTCAGCATCCTGAGGTACAGTGCACCAATACCTCTGCTCCATGTTGAGTCAAAGCAGTTAACACAGCCAAGGTATTCAGAAGACACTGATGATATCAGTAGCTATTGACTATTTCCAGCTGGGCAAACAAAGAAGTAAATTTAATAAGTCTTCTAAATTTGTTCTTGCCATGATGATAAGTAACTTGATCTTGATAATGAATGAAATTCTGGCAAATTAATTATAACTTGCCATAATGAGAAATAACTTTATGCTGAGTATAGCAGACACACAAGCCCTTGAGGACACATGCCTGAGGATTCTGATGAGGATATTATGTCTAAATATGTACACGTTTGGACCTACAGTCCAGCTTCGAAACAGTGAAACAGTGGAAGACCTAGTTTCAAATTCAAGGTTTCTTTGAGTAGAAATTCACTTTACCTCTCTTTGCATGGCAATGGGGCCAATCTTCCCTAAGGTGCCCCTTACAAGAAAAGAAATCATGCTGGTAAGATTCCAGACTTCAGCAGACATGGGTAAGTAAGGAAGTCTTACAAATGTATTCTAGCCACCTAGTGAGAAATCAGAAATTTAGCAAGTTCACTCACATGTAGGACAGTTGTGTGCACTAGATCAGAGGCCCTGCTACATGAAGAATAGAGCCCTAACAAGGGAAAGTATTTCTTCCCATCCTAGGACATCACTGCCAACTTCAGGGAAGTGGGAACACAACCGCCTGCCTTAGGGTATGGGTTACTTTTGTGCCTGGAATGTGTCTGATATCCTGCTACCTGTACCCATTTCAGGGAGCCTTGGGAGGAGTCTGAATCACTGATGGAATTGGACTGTGCATGGAGATGGTTGAGCAAGATGAGGGTAGGTGCCGGGGCATGGCCAGGTCATACTGGGAGACAATGAGCAGCACTGATGGAGACAAAGATAAAGTCAACAGTTTGTGCTTCAGCATCGAAAACTCAAACCAAGCCAGGCGCGGTAGCTAACGCCTAGAATCCCAGCACTTTGGGAGGCCGAGGCGGGTGGATCACGAGGTCAAGAGATCGAGACCATCCTGGTCAACAAGGTGAATCCCCGTCTCTACTAAAAATACAAAATTAGCTGTGCATGGTGGTGCGCGCCTGTAGTTTCAGCTACTCGGGAGGCTGAGGCAGGAGAATTGCTTGAACCCAGGAGGCAGAGGTTGCGGTGAGCCGAGATCGTGCTATTGCACTCCAGTCTGGGTGACAACAGTGAAACTGTCTCAAAAAAAGAAAAAAAAAATCAAACAAAAAAGGAATTTGCTTTCATAAGTAATAAGCATTTTTCTATTTACATGAGAATTTAATCTCAAAATAAATCATAAAAATAGTCCAGGGCATAAAACCTAAACCATAGCTCATAGTTATTCTTTCTTAATGGAGGTATCAGTAAAATCTTCTTCATAAAACATACATTGTGGTTATAAAAAGGCAAAAGTTGTAATCCCAGCACTTTGGGAGGCCGAGGCGGGTGGATCACAAGGTCGAGAGATCGAGACCAACCTGGTCAACATGGTGAAACCCCGTCTCTACTAAAATACAAAAAATTAGCTGGGCATGGTGGCGCGTGCCTGTAATCCCAGCTACTCAGGAGGCTGAGGCAGGAGAATTGCCTGAACCTAGGAGGCGGAGGTTGCGGTGAGCCGAGATCGCGCCATTGCACTCCAGCCTGGGTAACAAGAGCGAAACTCCGTCTCAAAAAAAATAAAAATAAAAAAAAATAAAAAGGCAAAAGTTGACCAAGTGCAGTGGCTCATGCCAGCTGTCCCAGCACTTTGGGAGGCCGAGACGGGTGGAGCACAATGTCAGGATATGAAGACCATCTTGGCCTACATGCTGAAACCCTGTTTCTGCTAACAACACAAAACATAGCCAGGCATGGTGGCACGTGCCTGTAGTCCCAGCTACTTGGGAGACTGAGGCAGGAGAATCACTTGAACCCAGGATGCAGAGGTTGCAGTGAACTGAGATTGTACCACTGCATTTCAGCCTGGTGACAGAGCAAGACTGTCTCAAAAAAAAGGAAGGAAGAAAAGCAAAATTCTTAGTGAAAATCATAGGTGTACCTTAGAAGAGAGAATTAAATATAGTCAAGGGAAGACCAAGTCTCATAGTTCTCTTGTATATTCCAAAGTTCCAGGGAAATGCCAGGTAACAGAGGATATTTCCCATGCTGTTAAAGCAAGGTTGCAGACACTAATGAATTTTGGGCCCAATACTCCAGGAGGGCACCCCTCTGTCCTGGAAAATTGTACAGGAATGAATACTTTTCCTTTGACTCATTCTGGTTATTCATCCAGGATCACAGAAACTAAACAATGGAAATATGGCCAAATTCATGATTTGCTAACCCTCTTCTCAGGTTTCTTACCTGACTCTTAGGATAACAGCATTACTTTGAAGCATATGATGAAGATATGCTGTCCAAATACGTGCACGGTTTTGAGCAAAATGCCTGATACAAATTGGTCAACAAACAATTACTGGATGATGATATGAATATTTACTGAATGACAGGGATCCTATGAATAACTGTGGAATAATTGTTGTGATTGCTTTTATTAGCAGTGCTCAAAACTCATCTCTGTGTGACCTTGCAAATAAGCCACATAACTGTGAACCTGCAGCTTCATCAGTTTTAAAATGAAGGAACGTGACAGGTTTTCATTCTGCCACAGAATGTCAGGCCTCGCAGACACCAGAACATACATTTACGTAAAGCATTTGATATATTTCCACGAAGTATCCCTATAGGTAGTTGGAGGATGGTGGGGGCTGCAGAGAGGCACGCTTTCCAATGGGATTGAGGCAGTCCTTCTTCCTTGACTTCCACATGAATGCTGGGCAGCCCAGGGTCACACCCATTGCACCCTCAACTCAGGCAAGCCCAGCAGCCAAACATAGGAGACTTGGGCTACAGAACAGTCTTCCAAATCCCAGGCTCAGAAAACCGAGGTGGAGATGACGGCTGAGAAAGTGAGGGGGTGGTTCAGGGGATCACTCTTCCCTACTCGTTCCTCTCATCTCAAATTCACCTTCCATTGCACAGCAACACTGAGGACCACCAACCACCCCTGACCATCACCTTGATCTTGCCATGTTTGGTTAGTGGGATGCACGCCCACATCAGTGGTGTTAGACCAACTCAGAAAAATATCTATCAAACAGTGTTTTCGTAAGAACCGCTCATGGCCCTGTTATTTTCAATATATGGAAAAAATGAAATGAAAACAACAAAGTCATACCAGGTTTCCAAGACTTCCCAAGATAGATGGTCACACATGCTTTCAGGAGATCTCTATAGAAATGGTTTCAATGATGCGACACCTTGAAAAGAGCTCTTCTGGGACTAGAATGACATCTATAAGTGACAAGTATGAGATGTAGTGTTCACTCACATTAAAAAACAGAATTTAAGGCTGTTTTTTAGAGGAAGCTTTGGACATAGGTACGTCACACTGGTCTTGATTGTAATGAAAAGCCTCTACTGCCACAAACATTAGTGTACTGGCACCTGCCAGTAAGAAAAGTAAATCAGCATAACCATGGGATGCAGCAAGAAGAATATTGAGCCAGGAAAGAAAATATTTTTAAGAAATGAGTTACTCATTGACTTTCTAGTGGATACAGAAAAAACTGCAGAAGACTCAGAGGATATCATGGCAGTGTAATAGACTGATATCTTAAACTTGTGGAAAAGCCTTAAATTCTGTTTAACATGTGAGAAGGACTCACATGTTTAACATGACTGACTTCATGAGTAGCATTAAGGAAGTATCACGTGTTGGGAAACTGTTTCTGCCTTGATGATTTTATACACATAAGAGATGAAAAATGAGGCACATGCTTAGATGTATTGGGAATGAGATGGCACTGTGGCATTGTCACAACGGTACACAAATACTGAGAGTGACTTATAGAGTAATGGTCCCCATCTGTTGTGACCTCAGGTGAGACCAGGAGGCCTGTGTTTTAGCAAACCCTGGGCAGTTGGAATGAAGGGCTCCTAAGATTCCATGACACGGCCAGCTTTTAATTCTGTTATTGCAACAGCAGACGGTTACCTGGGACACTGGCTGCTATCTCTCTCACTCTTGTCAGAGTCTGAGCTACAGGCAGCGCCTTCAGTTCTCAGCTCAGGCATTTTCAACCTTGTTTTTGCGGTTAAGGACCTTAGCTAAAGTGCTGTGAGGAGGGATCGAGTTTTTCTCAACAGTAAGTTAAGAATTTGAGTTCCTGACATCCCCCAGTCCTGATGAAATCTATTTGATTTCCAGTTTTTAACCCATCATGTGTTTGCGTTTCTTCTCCCAGTCCCTGGCCCTACCTGTGGTGCCCCAAACGTCGGCATGATAGCATCTCGCAGGACGTGCTCCAGGAAGACCACAGAGGCACACTTTCCAGATACCATCGAGAATTTCTACTCCCAGCAGGAAGAGACCAAACCAAATATCGGAGCCAGCAAAAATAGACTTCTTTTGAGTCAGGTGGCCTACTTCCTGAACTACCAGCTGAAGACCTACAGTAAGTTCTATAGGTTCACCACCACGAAAGTGATGAATGATGTCCTGTGTTGTCTTGAGAAACTAACCGGTTTCTTCATCAAAATTAATTTCATCCTTCCCATACTTGCAGAAACTAGCAATGGGTATTTTAACATTTTGTTAAAGATGGAAGACAGAGGCCAAAGTATTTAGCAACTTTTCCACCTCTGCAGTAAGGTGGGTTTGGGACTGGGGTTACAATCTTAGCTATTGATCTGACACAGGCACAGAACCACCTGTTTTTCTCAGCAAGTGGCTAAATCCAGGTTCACAGGAATCCTCTCTGTACCATATAAGATCCTGCAGACAAGTAGCATCTAGTCTGTTGGTCTAAATGTCTGAGGCTACTGAACTTCCATTCAGTTCTGGTTTCTGCTGAGGCCCAGTAGGCAAAGCTGTGTTCTGGGGACACTGGGGGAAACACGGTGATGGCACACAGTACCAGCTGTCGGGAACTTAAGGGGGACCCTGCTCCTAATAGAACCTGTGTTATCTGTAAGTGGGTCCATCAAGAGCAGGGAATAACCTGGTACTGGTGCGGCAGCCTCCCAATCAGCTGGGATCCCCGGTGGGAACCACCACACTTGACTAACTTTGTATTTTCAGTAGAGGCAGGGTTTCACCTTGTTGCCCAGGCTGGTCTTGAACTCCTGAGGTCAAGGGATCCACCCTCCTGGGCCTCCTAAATTGCTGGGATTCCAGGCTTGAGCCACCATGCTGTCTCCACAGATCCTTTTTTCAGTAAAGGTTGTTAGAATTCATCTCTCGGTCCAGTCTCCTGTATAAATTTCTCTAACCATTCATTGACCATGATATATGATGAGATAAATCAATATTACAGCAGTGCTTCTGGAAAGTATCTAGGGCAATTTTTGTAAGATTTTTGGGGAAAAAGTTTTAATTTTTTGCCTGATTAAGGTCTACCGGATGAGGGAGATTTTATCCCATGGATCAAAAGCAGGCTCATCTACTTCTAGGGCAACTTAGTCTAGGGCCCGTTAGACATTCCTGTCAGAATACCACATTCTTACACTGAGAATATTTTACATCCTTGTGCTATGAGTGGGCACTGATTTGGTCTTGTGTGAAGTGTGATTTGCTTAATGTGACCTGCTCTTCTAAATTTGTTTACAGGAGATCGAAAAGATCACGATGAAGAACAGAAATGCAGAGACAGCAAAAATAAACTTCTTATGAGTCAAGTGGCCTACTACCTGGGCTGCCGGCTGAAGACGGAAGGTAAGTTCTCTAGGTTCACCATCATGAAAGTAATGAACAGTGTCCTGTTTTGTCTCTAAGAAACAATACACTGTCTTCTTGAAAGTTCATTTAATCATGCCCATACTTCCAGGAATGTAGCAATGGGTATTTTAACATTTTGTTAATGATGGAAGACAGAGGCCAAAGCATTTAGCAACTTTTCCACGTCTGCAGTAAGGCGGGTGTGGGACTAGTATTAATATCCCAGCGATTGATTCCTGACACAGGGACAGAACCACCTGTTTTTCTCAGCAAGAAGCCAAATCATGTTTACAGGAATCCTCTCTACCATATAAGATTCTGGAAAACTTATAAGCAAGATAAAGGTAGAAGTGTTTATTTCATAGTTTCAAGGTGACTGAGTAGCTAAGGCAAGTTGAATTTAAGGAGACCAAGAGTGGAGATGAGAAGAGTAAAAGCGGGGAAACAACATCTTCAAATCGATAGGCAGTGCTGTCAGTGACATCCCTCAGTTCCGATTAAACCAATTTGATGTCACCAGTTTCTAACGCATCGTCTGTTTGGGTTTCTTCTCCCCAGTCCCTGGCTATCTGTGTTCTGTCCCAAACGTCAGCACAGCGGCATCTGGCAAGCCTCCTTCCAGAGAAAACACAGAGGTGAACGTTGCGGAAGGCATTGAGAAATCCTGCTCCCAACAGGAAGAAAACAAACCGACTTTCAGAGCCAGCAAAAATAGACTTCTTCTGAGTCAGGTGGCCTACTTCCTGAACTACCAACTGAAGACCTACAGTAAGTTCTACAGGTTCACCACCACGAAAGTGATGAATAATGTCCTGTCTTTTTTTGAGAACCTAACCACTTTCTTAATCAAAATTAGTTTCATCCTCTTCATCCTTGCAGAAAATAGAAATGAGTATTTTACCATTTTGTTAAAGATGTAAGGCAGAGGCCAAAGTATTTAGCAACTTTTCCGTGTCTGCAATAAGGTGGGTGTGGGACTGGGATTAAAATCCCAGCTATTGGCCGGGCGTGGTGGCTCATGTGTATAATCCCAGCACTTTGGGAGGCCGAGGCAGGTGGATCACGAGGTCAAGAGATCGAGACCATCCTGGTCAACAAGGTGAAACACCGTCTCTACTTAAAATACTTAGTCGGGTATGGTGGCGTGCACCTGTAGTCCCAGCTACTCAGGAGGCTGAGGCAGGAGAATTGCTTGAACCCAGGAGACGGAGGTTGCGGTGAGCCGAGTTTGCGCCATTGCACTCCAGCCTGGGTAACAAGAGCGAAACTCCATCTTAAAAAAAAAAAAAATCCCAGCTATTGATTTCTGACACAGGCACAGAACCACCTGTTTTTCTCAGCAAAGGGTGAAATCATGTTTACAGGAATCCTCTCTACTGTATAAGATTCTGCAGACCAGTAGCATCTAGTCTGTTGGTCTAAATGTCTGAGGCTAGTGAACTTCTACTTGGTTCTGGTTTCTTCTGAGCCCCAGTAGGCAAAGGTGTGTTCTGGGGCACCAGGGGAACACAGTGATAGTACATGGTACCTCTTGTGAGCTTGAAGAGGACCCTGCTCCTAATAGAACCTGTAGTATCTGTAAGTGGCACCATCAAGAACAGGGAGTACCCTGGTACTGGTGCCTCAGCCTCCCAATTAGCTGGGATCCCTGGTGGGCACCAAAGCACCTGGCTAATTTTTGTGTTTTTAGCAGAGGCGGTGTTTCACCATGTTGGCCAGGCTGGTCTTCAACTGAGGTCAAGTGATGTGCCCGTCTGGGCCTCCTAAAATGCTGGAATTCCAGGCAGGAGACACCGGGCTGCCTCCACAGATTATTTTTAAGTAAGGGTTGTTAGAATTCATCCCTTGGTCCTGTCTCCTATTATAAATTTCCCTAGCCCTTCATTGAGCATGATATGTGATGATATAAATCAGTATTGCAGCAATGCTTCTGGAAAGTTGTTAGGGCAATTTTTGAAGATTTTGGGGACAAAGTTTTAATTATTTGCACTGACTTAGGTCAGAGGATATGTGATTAAGATCTACCAGATGAGGGAGACTTTGTCCCATGGATCTGAAAAGCAGGCTCATCTACTACTCAGGTGATTAACCTAGGGCCTGTTAGAACATTTTCATCAGAATATCACATTCTTACACTGAGAATATTTTACATCCTTGTGCTATGACCGAACACTGATTTGGTCTTGGGTGAAATGTGATTTGCTTAATGTGACCTGCTCTTCTGAATTTGTTTACAGGAGATGGAAAAGATCACAATGAAGAACAGAAATGCAGAGACAGCAAAAATAAACTTCTTATGAGTCAAGTGGCCTACTACCTGGCTGCCGGCTGAAGACGGAAGGTAAGTTCTCTGGGTTCACTGTCTCGAAAGTGATGAACTGTCTTGTGTATGAGAAATGATACATTCACTTCTTCAAAGTTAATTTCATCCTTCCCATACTTGTAGGAAAATAGCAAAGGGTATTTTAACATTTTGTTAAAGATGGAAGACAGAGGCCAAAATATTTAGCAGCTTTTCCACATCTGCAGTAAGGCGGGGTGTGGGACTAGGGTTAATATCCCAGCTATTGATTCCCGACACAGGCACAGAACCACCTGTTTTTCTCAGCAAGAGGGTAAGTCATGTTTACAGGATTCCTCTCTGTACCATATAAGATCCTGCAAAACATAGAAGCAAGATAAAGGTAGAAGTGTCATGTCCTGGCTTCAAGGTGACTGAGTAGCTAAGACAAGTTGACTTTAAGGAGATCAAGAGTGGACATGAGAAGAGTAAAAGTGGGGAAACAACGTCTTCAAATCAATAGGCAGTGCTGTCAGTGACATCCCTCAGTCCTGATTAAAGCAATTTGACGTCACCAGTTTCTAACGCATCGTGTGTTTGGGTTTCTTCTCCCCAGTCCCTGGCTATCTGTGTTCTGCCCCAAACGTCAACACGGTGGCATCAGGCAAGCCTCTTTCCAGAGAAAACACAGAGATGAACGTTGCAGAAGGCGTTGAGATATCCTGCTCCCGGCAGGAAGAAAACAAACCGACTTTCAGAACCAGCAGAAATAGACTTCTTCTGAGTCAGGTGGCCTACTTCCTGAACTACCAG